TTTATAGCCTAGGAAAATCTATTTTTAGAGTCCTACATAAACTAAATCACTGCTAGGTTTTTGGTTTGATGTCTTCCTTGCACCGGAGGGTTCGGGTTGTTGGAGGCGAGAGATCTGCGGCACCGTGAAATACGACCAAGGGAGACGTAAGGTGTGAGGGCTCATCGAATAAGGGCTTGCGGTGCTGTCTAGAATAGAAGATGGGGTTAGGGTTATAAAACCCTAACCGATTCAGGTTGGTACGTGGATCCTAAACTCGGGTTTGGGTCGTATGTGCAGTTGGGCCTCTGGATTGCTTTGTTGGGTGTGTAACTTGGGCTACTGTCACGCTTTGTAAAAACGCTAGGCCTGGGCCTACAAAACAAATGAAACAAGTAATAAATATATATTTATAATTAATATAATATGTATATAAATAATATATGTGGCACATAGGATGAAATGATGTGTCTACAACTGCCCCTCTATGTCATTTTTCGTGGAACAAAAAGTGGGAAAAAGATAAAAGGACACAAATTTTCATCTGGCGGAGTTGAAAATTGACTCTGGTATTTCAAATAACTCCTTGTCGAATTGTGTTCCGGATGGCTCCTCCTTCGCGAAGTCGAGTCCATCTTGAAATGATATGAGATTGAAGCTGTAGTTCGAAATTTGAATAGGAATATGGCTTCTCGTTGCCCTTCGGTCTTTTTCTCTATTTAAAGACATTGGTTTAAAAATTCGACTGGAAAGTAATTCTTTGATTCCACCCTGTAGTTGATAGGCCCTCGAGCTGAATGAAATCGAACTCGAAAGGTCTTCGTTGACAGATAGCTTTTCTCGACTTATGATGTTCTTCCGGAAAAACAATTTCTTGTCACTAAGGCACGACTAACCCAAGTCATCTTCTCGACTTGAAAACCTCAGCTACCACCTGAAAGTAGTGTGATTGATGTGTCATCGAGCTGAATGGAATCGAACTCGAACATTTTGTTGACATATAGCCCTTCTTGCCTTGAGCTATGCTGTAAAATGACATGCCTTTGAGCTGAGTGTAATCGAACTCGAAGTTCTTTTATTAGAAAATAGCCCTTCTTGCCTTGAACTATATTGCAAATGATGTGCCTTTGAGCTGAGCGTAGTCGAACTAGAAGGTCTTTTTTTGATAGATAACCCTTTTAGCCTTGAGTTATCCTGCAAATGATGTGCCTTGGAGCTGAGCGTAGTCAAACTCAAAGGTCTTTTGTTGGTAAATAACCCTTCTTGCCTTAAGCTATGTTGCAAATGATATGCCTTGGAGTTGAGCATAGTCGAACTCGAAGGTCTTTGGTTGGCAAATAACCCTTCTAGCCTTGAGTTATGCTGCAAATGATATGCCTTTGAGCTGAGTGTAGTCGAACTCGAAGGTCTTTTGTTGGCAAATAGCCCTTCTTGCCTTGAGCTATGTTGCAAATGATGTACCTTGGAGCTGAGCGTAGTAGAACTCGAAGGTCTTTTGTTGGCAGATAACCCTTATAGCCTTGAGTTATGCTACAAATGATGTGCCTTGGAACTGAGCGTAGTCGAACTCGAAGGTCTTTTGTTGGCAAATAGATGATCTATGTTGCAAATGAACACGATATCCTTCATCGTGAAGTTGAAATCATGGATGGCATTGCTTCTTGTGGGAACGATATCCTTCACCGTAAAGTTGAAACCGTGGATAGCCCCTTCGTTGTGAAGTTGAGCCTTGAATTGGATATCCTTCGTCATGAAGTTGAAATCCAATCTGAAGATAAATGTTGCTGGCGGGCACGATTCCCTTCGTCGTGAAGTTGAAATCGTGGATGACCTCTTCGTTGTGAAGTTGAGCCTTGAATTGGATATCCTTCATCGTGAAGTTAAAATCCAATCTAAATATTAATGTTACTGGTGAGCACGATTCCCTTCATCGTGAAGTTAAAACCGTAGATGACCCATTCGTTGTGAAGTTGAGCCTTGAATTGGATATCCTTCTTCGTGAAGTTGAAATCCAATCTGAAGATGAATGTTGCTGGTGAGAACGATTCCCTTCGTCATGAAGTTGAAACCATGGATAGCTCATTCGTTGTGAAGTTGAGCCTTGGATTGGATATCCTTCGCCGTGAAGTTGAAATCCAATATAAAGATGAATGTTGTTTCGAGTCCAATATCCTTCACCGTGAAGTTGAAATTAGCTTTGAATGAAACTGGGAAGCCCCTTCGCTGTGAAGTTGAGCTTTGAATTGGATAACCTTCGTTGTGAAGTTGAAATCCAAGTATTGTATGTTGCTTTGAGTTGGATATCCTTCGTTGTGAAGTTGAAATCCAATCTTTCGTTGTGAAGTTGTTTGTCGTCAGACAGTTGCCCCTTCGCTGTGAAGTTGAGCAACCACCATCAACTTTTGAATGTGTTTTTGAATCGAGTATCTTTCGTCTTGAAGTCAAAACTTGACTCAAAAAGCTGCAAAAAATTACGTATGCTAAAAATGATAAATACAATGCTATTAAGTATGCCTAAGATGCATGCAACATGAATTAATTTTGTTTTATCTCTTGGATGGAGCCTCATTTTTGTCTGCTGGTATTGTCCTTGGAATTGACCATGCCCCATTTTCTTCTCAGGTTATTGGTAATGTCACAAGTTCTATCTGATCTCTCGGACTGATTGTCTTGTGAAATGCTCAAAATTTATCATTGTTCATTCTTTCTTTAATAGAGGTAAAATGAGCCTTAGCACCTTCCAGGACCTTTCACATTTGAGACTGTCCTGTTTGAAAATGTTTTTCTCCTTTCTCTTATCTTAGGAGGGAAGAAAAAAGATATAAAAATGCAAGAATTTTGTAATACATTGCCTCTTAATTCAGGCTCGCAATCAAATCGAATCAAATTATAAACACGAGTTCAAAGAATATCAAAGGAATTAATAGCTCTTTTAGTTATAGCTCTTTGAAAAATATTCAAGTGGATGAGTTGGCTTTAGGTTGACCTAAGGTTTCAGCAAAATAAATGATTTTTTTCGATCATTGTAACATGCTTTTTCTTTGGCTTGGCATTTTAATTGGATGCGGACAAAATGACGCAACTAGCATTATCAATTACTAGACCCTCTATTTCAGTTCACTGAAATCTTCCATTTGTTCAAGTTTTGTAAGCTCCTCTAAGAAAGGTAGTGCAAAAATATCGGTCTAAAAATGAAATTCTTGAGTGCTCGTGTGAATTTGACTATAACAGGTGTTCCTTAACTCCCTTAGTCCATTTTGATCGAAACTCCTTATTTAAATTTGCCATTGTCTGGCTAGATGAATCCATAAAGCTGGGGCGTTTAACCAATTGCTCTAGAGGGATAGCTCAATATCATTGTATATATATTATATTACCTTTATCAGGCTACCTGAATATTATCCATAAAGTCGGGGTGTTTAACCAATTGCTCTAGAGGGACAACTCAATCTTTATTTAATATTATAATCACCTTTATCAGGCTAGCTGAATCTTTTCCATAATGGCGAGACGTTTAACCAATTGCGTTATAGGGACAACTCAAGCTTTATTATATATATATATAATATTATAATATGGGTAAATAGGTCCAATTTCTTAAGTTTGTCAAGAAGAATCTGTTATAGTCTAGGTGTTTTTGAAAGTCAAGGAATCTCATCTTTAGAGATCAATTTCCAAACAATTGACCTAAACTAGATTTGCCTACTTGACTATTCCATCTGTGAAGATTATTATCATCACTGAACGTCTTAAACAAAAAGTATAGAAATTCCATATGCAAAAGATGCCCCATGTTGTCCGCAACTATGCACGTCTAAATATCAAGCCTCTTTTCATTATTTTATGAGAGGAGAAGGCTATATCAGTTCTTGTAAGGGAAAGGTATGGTGGTCGGGCTTTTCAGGGTAAAGTCCTTGTTTTGTTACTTTGTCAAAGATCTGTAACTCTGAATCATTTACAGAGTTTTTTAATTCAGTTGATATTCCAAGAATTGCAAGTTTGCAAATTTGATTTGTTGCTCGTCATCTTTAAAGTAATATAAATAAATATTCTTACAAAAACTTGAGAAAAGATGAAAAAAAACAAATTCAAACAAAATGTCTCAAATGATGAAATGATCTTCTTCACTTGGATACCCCCAAGTTGTTGAAGTCAATCTAGTTCTGGTTACGCATCTTCTACACGATTCTTTTGAATGCGTAACAGTTCTCAATAGTGTGCCCTAGGACACTGCTGTGATATTCACAATGAGAATTCTCATCATACCACTTGGGGTATGAGGGCTTCATGAGTTCCACCGGGTATGGTAACACTATGTGGGTGTTAAAAAGTTATTGGTAAATAGGGTCGAAAAGTTCCTATTTTTGATGAGACATGTGAAGGTGGTTAATGCGAATGTAAAGAAATTAAAATAACATAATGCAAAATATGTTTAAATGCATAATGCATGCAATGTTCGAGACATTGATCCAAAAATGTGTTGTTATTATAAATAATCCTTATTGGGGACAAAAATGTTACGTCTTAGGAGACAAAAAACATTTTGACGGTATAGATCCCGAACAGCCTCTGACAAGCTGATTCGTCTTCCGTCTTTTTTTTGTCACTGGTTAAATACCCTTTCAAATCATTCCAGCTCCTTTGGCTAAACCATGCAGATGAGAAGCTTCCTTTTGTACATATTCCAAGAATTCTCGAATGGCTGCATATCTACTATCTGCTGAGTCTGCCTTCAACAAAAACGCCTTTGAAAGCCTCAAGTGAAGGGAAAAACTCACTTGTTTGCTTCTTGGATTGGTCAACAATGGCATGTTGTCTTTGAAGGGACTCTCCAGGTCAATAATCTTTTTCTCGTCTTGCCCCTGCAACCTTTGCCAGCTCAAAAAGTTGACTTTTGGTGTGCACAGTGTAAATCCCGGTCCATTCTGAGTCTTTCAGTAGAAAATAAAGTGGTGTACTCTTCGATCGCGGGCACCGCATTTTCTTGACATGAGTCTTTTCTGACCATGGTCGGACCTTCGAGCTTTTCACCTCTTGTATTATAACCCCTTTGTCCATTATTACAAATTATTTACATTTAACGAACACATTTTTGGTGGATCAACACCTCTTTTGGATGATGTAAATGATAAAAAATGAAGTAAAAGAAAATAAAAATTAAAGGAAAAAAGTTAGTAAGATAAGGATAATAGAACAAAAAAAATAATGAAAATAGTCCTACACCACATTATATCTAGCCCACATGTTTATTATTCTTACCCGGGCATGATATCTATCCCACAAGTTGATTTTGAACAAGTCCTAACCGCATAAATTTCTAGTTCACATGCTTTGAACATGAAATAAAGCAGGAAATAATATCAAAGCATCCTAGGATTTGAAATGAGGTTTTGGGGTGGGCTTTAATTCCCTATAGTCTCTCGATTTAGGTTCTAGAAAAGGTGCACGAGTTCTCCTTGCTGGTGCCCCCTTGGGCTTGCTAGACCCTTAGTCCTAAGCCTATTACAAGCTTATGTGGACTAAGTTAAACTCGAGATAATACATTCCCTTATGCATATGCGGTGAATAAATTCACACGAAGACATAAGGTATATGAATCCCAAAGGTTACTTGCTAGGCCCATGCAGAGAATAAATTCTCACAAATGCGTCGCTTTTACCCCCACTTAAAAAGGGTTCGGAGCTCGGGTATAGAGCCAGAGATAGAAACTTTTCAAAAATTTGAAATCATTGAAAAAAATGTCAGTACAACTATTTATTTGAAAAATAAGCAAAGGTAAATAATTGGAATCGAATAAATAAATTAAAATTAAAATTTACTATTTTTATATAAAAAGACAACCGAAAATTAATTCTAACTTTTCAAAATTTGAAATCATTGAAAAAATGTCAGTACAACTATTTATTTGAAAAATAATCAAAGGTAAATAATTGGAATCGAATAAATAAATTAAAATTAAAATTTACTATTTTCATATAAAAAGACAACCGAAAATTAATTATGGCCTGACTCACTTACATGCCCAGCGGAGTCGCCAAGCTGTCGCGGTCGTCTTTTGGTTGGGCCCAAAATTGGGCTTCGACTTAAGAAAACGAATTGGAGTCGCCATCGATCATTTATTTTAAAACAAATGGGTTAATCGGATACCTTATTTCTTACCTCATCTGCGTCTTACCAAATATGTATCGGATTCGGGAGTCGGTTACAGTCAAGGAAGGGTTAGCACCCTTGAACTGCCCTTTCGGTACTACGTAATTTCCAGTTGTCTTAAATTAAGAAAATTGTACTTTAGAAGGTAAAAATACGATCCCAGTTACTTACCTTAGATAGTTTTAAAGGTGTACCCTTAAGAAAGTCAAGGAACGTGTTAGATAAAAACTAAAAATAAATAAAATAAAGAAAGTAAAAAACGAACGAAGTAAAGGAAATAAAAAAGATACAGAAAATAAAAAAAATAAAGTAAAGATAAAAATGAATAAAATAAAATGAAGAAAAAAGAATAATAATAATAATAATATATACATAATAAGCAAATAAATAAAAATAAGAAGAAAATACAAATAAATGAATGAATAAAACAAATATAAAGAAGATAAAAAAAGATAAAGATAAGGAATAAAAATAAAAAATAAAATAATGGAAAAAATAGAATATATAAAAAAAGTAAAAATAGAAATAAGTAAAATAGAATAATAATAACAATAATAATAATAATAACAGTAAATAAACAGTAATAAAAGAAAATAAAAATAAAAGGGTATAAAAATAATAAATAAAATATATGTATTTATATATATGTAATAATAAAATATAATATTTACATGAATAAAATAAGAAATAAAAAAACAATTAAAATGTGAAGGGGACCGATTTGCAAGAAACAATTAATTGGGGGTTAATTTTAAAAGCAATTCGGGGTAAGAATCAACTCTGAGGGGTCAAATTGAATACTTAAAAACAACGAGGGACCCATAATGGGATTTCCCCATTTCCCTTAACCCCCCCCCCCCGTTTTAGCAAATGCTCTCGAGTATTTTTCAGAAGGTGAAGAACAAGATCAGTGTTCATCAAAAAACCCAGAATCCGACCATCGGTCGCCAGTCATTGGTGGCGAAATTTTAAAAATTTTATTTTTCGAAAGCATGTTTCACCCTTATTTTGAATATCGAAATAGTTTTTTTAAAACGTGAGCCTTGGGGGTAGATCTAAAACGAAAGATCTCGAAAGCCCCCTGTTCATCGGCCAAAAGTCATTTTTGGGGTTTGATTCGAACCAAAAGAAAGGAGAAAAGGACCACACATGTAAGCCAAGAAATATCGCAAATGTACGAAAAAGATTTTACCTTTATTTCTTTTCGAAACTGTAAAAATAATGCCTTGAATACACTTGTGGTTTGGTGGTATCTCTCTCGATATTTTGTGAATATATTGTGTGTAAACCCCTCTGTGATCTTGTGTGATATTCGTGTAAAACTCCCCGTAATCCCCCTTTTACAACGCGATTTACATCTTATTTGTAGCCTAGGAAAATTTATTTTTAGAGTCCTACATAAACTAAATCATTGCTTGGTTTTTGGTTTGATGCCTTCCTTGCGCCGGAGGGTTCGGGTTATTGGAGGAGAGAGATGTGCGGCGCCGTGAAATGCGGCCGAGGGAGGCGTGAGGGCTCCTCGAACAAGGGCTTGAGGCGTTGTCTGGAATAGAAGATGGGGTTAGGGTTGCAAAACCCTAACCGATTCGGGTTGGTTCATGGGTCCTGAACCCGGGTTTGGGTTGCATGTGCAACTGGGCCTCTGGGTTGCTTTGTTGGGTGTGTAACTTGGACTACTGTCACCCTTTGTAAAAACGCTAGGCTTTGAGCCTACAAAACAAATGAAACAGGTAATAAATATATATATTTATAATTAATATAATATATGTATATAAATAATAATATATGTGACACATAGGACGAAATGATGTGTCTACCCTTCTTAAGGACAAAAAGATAAATTTTCGTACAATTTTAACGAATCATTCATAATTTTTCGTATAATTTTAATTATTAAAGTTGTGATCATTATCTAAGAAACAATATTTTACAGTCTTCTTCCGAATGTATAATATGAAGATCATACCAAGCCATGGTCATTTTTATGGAATTTTTTTTCTTGTTTTCCGATTTAAAATTGTCAAAGTCATTTTGACACTTCTGAAGATTGAATCATTATGAATTTTTAGGATAAATCGTGAATCATTGTTTGAAGATGTTGATTGGAATTAAACCAAGAAAGAAAACCCATTTTGTTTTCAAGAGGATCTTTCAAAAGCAAAATTGTAATCAGACAACCATATACAATTAATTAGTGCTTAATCCACGTATTTGGTTAGTAGTTATACCTAATTTGTCTTTAATAAAGAACCATTAATTGATAAAGAATTAGGGATCGATTCATTCGGTAAGTGATATACCTTGTAAACTTGAAATACCATGTGCCATGTGATCATAGACTTACCCAAGAGGAGAAGCTTTCCTAAAAGGCATTGGCATAATGATTTCGTTTCATGAAGGCATAATATTAATATTAACATTAATAACATGTGAAAAACGAGATCACATGAAATAAAAATACATAAAATTTTAACCTTTCTCTTCTTTTTCCATGGCCTCTACGTTACTTCCTGTGATTCATTATCAAGTTTCCATTAGAACATTTTCATAATTTCAACTTTAGCCCTAAAGCACTTCTTCCAAGGCCCAACGGCTTCTATAAACACAAACCAATGGTTTTTTGGCCAATTAAGGATTCCGGGTTTTTTAATTTAGCCCATTAAGGTGTCGGTTTTTTATATAGGAGAGTACGGAAAATACTACAATGAATATGAAACTCGTCACCTTGTCACCTCAAGGTGACGAGTTCCAATAAAACATAGTTTTTTTATTAAAATTCATCACATCAAGTTTAAAAATTTGAATAAAAATATTTTTTTATTCGAACTCATCACCTTGAATAAAAAATTGAGGTGACGAGTTCCATGCACTGTAAAAAATATTGTAGATCCCAAAATAAAAATGTATATGACATATTTTGCAAATTATTTTTCTAGGTTGCCCTATTAGGCCGAAAAACCCAAACCAATGGCTTATCGTCGGTGAGCTATTAGGCCCAAAAAGCCAACCGAATGACAAGGGATTCAACAAAGATGAAACTGCCACTTTTGCAGTTCAAGTTGGGCATATTATGAACTAAAGTGCTTCCTTCACACTAGGCAAAGCTCTCTTTGTTGCATGATTTGGTTTGTTCACTTGATCTATGTCGCCATCAAACAAAGAAAGGGAAGAAATATAATGTTTAAACATTATAAAGTAAAAAATATGTATTGCTTGTTGGATTGGACCGACAATGATCACTTTTCCTCTTTATAATATGAAATGCAGAAAGTAAAAGCACAAACTTTGCTTCTTTCACCAGACAATTGCACTTTGGTTAATTCATGCCTTTTTTTCTTTCACAAAAATCACTTTTAAAACGCATGCTGAGTGTCAGAACCCCATGCTATGTTCAGACAAACACAGCCGATGTAAATATTCATGACACCGAATCGGATCAAGTTAGAACGTATGGATATCGAGCTGCTTGAACGAACATATCAGCTTCTCGTATAGCCAGGCACAAAAACTAGGCTTGCACAAAAAATAGTTGTTTTACCCACTCAGCATTCCTAGTTTGTTCTTACAATAAAAACTGTGCATAGGCATACTCCATTCTATTTAAGTACCCTAAAGTCTAAATCAAGGTAGGATATGCTTTTCTTCTTATGCTTAACAAGCAAAAGTGTAAAAGGTAGAATTTTGGCTACATTACAATCTTCACAATCCAAGTTATCCTTGGAGGAAAACTACAAGCCGAAAGGCCGAATGTCATATTCGTAACAGACCATTTAGGTGTCCATATTTGTTAATCAACATTGAGAACCTATAAATAGTTAAGCAATCACAAGATCAGAAATTAGCGAACAAGTGAAAGAATGTATCAAGTCTCATTCAAATGGTTACAACATGCAAATTAGCAAACAAACAACACTATGGTACCTTATCAAAGTATACAATTGCTAAAGTTCAATGCTTTAGTATTTTCGAATTCTTTTAAACAAGTTTTGGAATCGAAAAGAGACCAAAGACATAGCAGGGGCATGCTTCAGAACACAATTATAATTTTAGTAACAAAAACTTTGAACTTTTTATTTACTTTTCACTACAACATCTAACAAGGGAGAACCAACAAGCCCTCCCTTTCATCATGTCTGGGCCTTTATTTCAGATATACATGGATACAAAAATCTAATCTGTGTTTCCTATTGTACAATCAAACTATGAACTGAACAACAACAACTCACCTGCATTTCCAACACCGAAAGCTTTGTTCAAGTCATCCGATAGCATGATTGTCTCTCAGAGTCTGAACCAAACTCGAAGTGTATAGCCTTATCTTCTCATTCTCTTCCTCCATTAACCCCATACAAATCTCCAAAACTCCTTGGTTGATCGCTTCGAAACAAAGCCTTTCGGAACAATTGCACAAACAATTCAATGTAAACAGGCCATATCGAATTCCCCTTGAGGTTCCATTCCTTAAAACATGAACCAAAACCTTGACACACCCATTAACCTTTATCAACTCCTCTCTCCCTTCTTTGCATTTCACCAATAATCCCAACACTTCAATCGCCCTTTCCAAACCGGAATTCAATAAGCCAACCAGCATCGGCACCGCCCCGCAATCGATAGCTCTCCTTCTGTTATCAGCAAATGAACAGAGAGCATAGAGAGCAGTTGCGGCCTCTTTCTTTTCCCTTCCTTGGCCTGAAATCAGAAGCCAAACCAATGCCTGAATCACATCCGGGTACGCCCCTATCGTTGCTTTATTGACTTCCACGACGGCCAAGCTGGTTATAATCGTTGCAGCTATGGCTCTGCAATCGGGTGACCCGAGACGTAAGACATTGACGACCCGGTTAATCGCGCCTTCCGCGACTAAACCCACTTTGTTATCATCGTCTAGGCTGAGATTAAGGAGTAAAGAGAGCGACTTCTCTTGTAAATTCGAGTCATCCGAGTCGACACACTTGAGGACCGCGGGGGCCGCTCCCCACTCGGTTAGTTTACGGCGAAGTGCTGAGTCATGTTTGGTGAGTCTGGCCAGCTGTGTGAGAGACTTGAGCTTGGTTGCGAGAGGGGACGATGGAGAGGTCAGAGAAGAGATGAGGGATTGGGGTTGAGGGCAAGGCTGTGACTTTGAAGGAGCGACGAGGGTATAGTTGGAAATTAAGGAGCGGAGGGCATGGTTCGGGATAAGACAAGGGTGTTCAGGCAAGGGTAGTTTGGTAATCGGACAAGTCCGGTGGCCGGCGTCTAGCCACCGTTGAATTGATGCTCGGTCGAAGGTGTGACCCGATGGAAGGATAACCGGGTCGGACATTATCTCGAGAGATACAGGGCACTTGAAATCGTCAGGGAGCTGAGTTGCCATCTCGTTTCCAACTCGACTAAAAGCCTCAGCTTTCCTTCTCAGAGCTTTTGGAAAAAAAAGGAGGGTTTATGAGGTTTTGGAAGCAGTGGAGAGAGAGAAAGGCAAGAACTTTGTTTTATCGCTTAAGCGGGGAGCGAGAGAGAGAGAGAGGTTAAGAAGAAGGTAAGTTTGTGGACAACGAAATGACTATAGTATCCTCCTCAATGGGAATATAATTTACGTAAAGAATAACGCGCAGTTTTGCACAATTTTACATGTTTATTCCCAACTGAATAGAATTTTACATGTTTTTTTCTGCTCAACTGGGCAAGGAAATAAATTTCGAACATTGAGCTCATAAGTTCAACGTCATTTTAATAATCAAAATATACTACATGCATCATATAATGTAATACTTAAAACATTTTTGGTAACATACGGATATGCTAAGTTGGAACATACATACTTAGGTAGGCATCATGGTGCATCTAAGGGGCTACTTGGAGCTCACGCACCCCTCTATCTTACCTAGGGTGGAAATTCAGAATTCTACATCGGATTGCATCACCCATTAACTTGCTCCGTCGAGCCCTGGGGCATCTACGCCTAGTTCGCAAAGAAGTGCCAAATGCACAATCTTAGGGTTGACCATATCTTAACATACAAACGTTCCTTGATATTCTATAGGGGTTCGGGTATCCGACTCATTTCCCGAACATCATACAAGACAAGTCTTATGATTACATATAGTGTAAGGTTTCTAAGTGAAATTAACTTTGTTAATATCATTCACACTTGATGTCTTATTGAAGGATTAAAGAGTGGTTTGGGTCCCTCAACAACATTTTTAAAATTCCTTAAATTTTTTATTCTTGGAACTGAGGTAGTATCGATACTGACTTATCAGTATCGATATTGACTCAAAAGTATCGATACCTCCATTAAAGTATGATACCAACATCTTAAAACAACCTTGAGAAAAGGACGGTAGTATCGATACCCCTATAGAGAGTATCGATATTCAACCCTTGGTATCGATACTTCCATGAGTGCCGATACCGAAATTGCATTCTGGAAAATCGGTATCGAAACCCCTCCTCCAGGTATGAGATCGAACCTAGAATATCAATACTTCCACCTAAAAACTTATATATTTTTGCCTAATATAATAACAATATCAATATTGACACATGCAATATCAATACTGGCACCCGAAAATGCCTTTTTTGGACATCTTAAACCTTTCAAAACCATCCTAAAGGCCCTAAGGAGGTCCCCAAACATTAATAGAGTCTTATTTTAACTTATTAGGGTCATAAAGAATCATCACATAACATAAAAACACATAAATGTGAGATTTACAATGAACATGCTCTTAAGCTTTCAAAAGTTAATGCAAGCTACATAAATGCATGGTAAGACTTAAAAATGGTATAGGAAGGTTAGAAGGGTGTTACCTTGGTGATTTAGCTGATGAAAAATCCCCAAAATCACCCAAGTGACAACTTTTCCTTCCCCTTTCTTTGGACCCTTTCTTCAACTTATTTCACTAATGCATAAGGAAAACATGTTACTAACTTATTTATGAGGCTATTAGAAGTCTAGTAACATTTCTTAAAGTTCATCCTACCCCAAACACAAGCTAGAATCATCTATTTCATAAACCCCTAGTAAAACCTATTTTTGGTTAAAAACTTAAAACTTGACATATGGGGTTTGAAATGAAGCTCTTGAATTGTGGAAGAATCTTTCTTACATGAGGTAAACTCAACTAGGATTTGAATTTCTTAAATCTTCACTTGGAGGAAAGGAAAATGAAGAAAGAAATATTAGGGATAAGGAAGAGTGTTTGGTGAGTTAAGATGGGGTGGTTCACGTTGATATCAGATAAAAATAAGGGGGTTTAGCTCTTCATTTGAAAAATGGGAAAATCAAACTTTAGGTCATTTTCCTTTTTACTTCTTATTAAACTTATCCCAAAAGTCTAACACTTGGGCCAAACTAAGCCCAATTCTTACTTAATGTTATCCAACTAATCTAATGGGTCTTTTTGGGCTCGAATTAAAGGTTTTGGGTTAAATCGAATGACTAAGTCAGGGTTGGGGTATTAAAATCTCCTCTCTTAATAAGAAATTTCGTCCTCAAAATTTATCTGCGTAGAAAAGATACAGCTACTGAAGCTGCATATCTTTCTTAGTTTTCGAGGTGGCTTCTTCAGTACCATGGTTCCTCCACAATACTTTTACTAAAGGGATATTTTTGCTTAGAAGTTCCTTTACATCCTTTGCTAAAATCCTTATCGGCTCCTTCTCATACGGCATATCCTGGCTTAACTCGATCTGCTCTAAAAGAATGATATGAGAAGGGTCGGAATGATATCTCCTTAACATAAACACGTGGAACATATTGTGGGTACGTTTCAATTCTAGAGGTAGAGCTAAACGGTATGCTACGAGTCTTATCCTCTCGAGAATCTTATATGGTCCTCAAAGCGCGAGGTTAGCTTTCTTTTACGCCCGAAATAAAGCACCTTCTTCCATGTAGACACTTTAAGAAACACCTTGTCACCAACATGAAAATCGATTTCCTTACACTTTAAATACACATATGATCTCTGCCTATCAGACACTTCTTTTAGCCGATTCTGAATCAATCAAACTTTCTCTCCAGATTATTTAATCAAGTCAGGACCCACTAACTTACTTTTGTTAAGCTCAGACCAACATAGGGGAGTCCTACACTTGCGTCCATATAAAGCCTCATACAGAGCCATTTGGATGCAAGACTGGTAGTTATTATTGTAAGCAAATTCCACTAGTGGTAGGTGGTCTTCCCAACTACATTCAAAGTTTATAATCATACACCTGAGCATGTCCTCAAGGACTTGAATAACACGCTCTGACTGACCCTCTGTTGAGGGTGAAAAGCAGTACTATAATGTATTTTGGTGATTGAGGATTGATGAAGAGCTTTCCATAATCAAAAAGTGAAAGGAGGATCCCTATCAGATATGATCGAGATCAAAACCCCATGCAACCTTACTATGTCGCGGATATACAGTTGTGCTAATCTTTCTACGGTGAAATCCATCCATATTCGAAGAAAATAAACTGACTTAGTTAACCTGTCTACAATCACCCATATTGCATTATGCTTCTGTCTATTCATAGGTAGCCCGTTTACAAAGTCCATAGTCATATTCTCTTATTTCCATTGAGGAATTTGAATTGGTTGAAGTAGCCCTGAAGGAATCTGGTGTTATGCTTTAACTTGTTGACATACCAAATATTTCGCTATAAATTCATATATTTCCCTTTTCATACCTGGCCAAAAATACAACGGTCGTAATTCTTGATACATCTTATTACTGTCCGGGTGCACTGAGAGTGGACTACAATGTGCTTCATGAAGAATCTTATTGCGCGAAGGCTAACCGACCTCTAAAGAACAATGTATTCTCATCTCTTAGCTCAAAGAATAGGTCCTAGCCTCAGTGAACTTGCTCTACGCGAGCCCTCAAGCGATCGTCGAAACCTTGCAACCTCTTGACTTTGCCTACCAACCCAGGCTTTACTCGAAGTTCTGCTAACAATCCTCCATGCTCAGACAACCTCAATTGTGCTAACAAAGCCCTCAAGTCCACCATCGACTTCATACTTAGTGCATCTACACTATGTTTACTTTCCTTGGGTGATAGTCAATCACACAATCATAATCCTTTAACAACTCTACCCACACGCTGCCTTAAATTCAATTATTTTTGGGTAAGCAGGTACTTGAAACTTTTATGATCCGTGAATATATGACACTTTTCATCAAACAGATAATGTCTCCAAATCTTAAGCGCAAACACTACAGCTGGTAAGTCGCGGGTAGGATAATTTCACTCATGCGGCTTGAGTTGATGAGGTGCATAAGCTACCACTTTCCCCTCTTGCATAAACAAGCACCCAAAACCATTCAAATAATCATCACTATACACTATGAATTCTTTACTAGATTTTGGCTACGTTAAAATTGGTGCTTGGGTTAGAACAAACTTTAATTGCTCAAAGTTTTTCTGGCGCTTTTCATCCCAAACAAACATAACTCCCTTATAAAATAACTTCATCATAGGTACAACTATCATTAAGAACCCTTTTACAAACCAATAATAATAACCCGTAAGACTTAAGAAAGTACAAACTTATGTCACATTGCTTAGCAGTTCCCACTCTAACACGGGTTGAATTTTCTGAGGATCAACCCAGATGCCTTCTGCTGATACTACATGGCCCAAAAAGATACTTTGGATAACCATAACTCACAGTTTCCAAACTTAACAAATAATTGACGCTCTCATAAAATTTATAAAACTATGTGGAAGTGTCGATGACGTTCTTCTTCAGATCGTGAGTACATCAATATATCATCTATGAAAACCACCATGAACTTAACTTAGTACGGGTGGAAAACATGGTTCATTAATTCCATGAATGTGTTGATGGCATTGGTGACCCCAAACGGCATCACTGGGAACTCATAATAAATGTACCTTGTCCTAAACGTCGTCTTGTCTATATCTGCATCCCTAACCTTCAAATGGTAATACATAGATCTTAGGTTTATCTTTGAGAAAACACAAGCCCCTTTAAGTTAATCAAAAAGGTCATTTATCCCAAGGAGAGGGTATTGATTATTGATAATTAACTTATTCAACTAAGGATAATTGATACATAACCTCATCGACCCATCTTTCTTCTTTACAAAAAGGACTAGCACCCCCAATGAGAGGTGCTTGGTTGAATGAAACCCTTCTCTAAAAGCTCTTAAAGTTAGACCTTTAATTCCTTAATCTCCGTCGGTGCTATGCGATAGGGTGTAATAGAAATAGGAACGGAACCCGATAATATATCAATACTAAATTCTAATTCTCTATCTGGGGGTAACCCTGCTAAATCCTCATGAAAGACATTCTTAAAATCTCTTACAATTTTGATATTCTCAACCGATAAACTTACAACCCGAGTGTCAACCATATGTGCTAAGAAAGCTTTATAACCCTTCTCAATAATCATTTGCACCTTGATTGCTGAAATAATTCTTGAACACCCAAAGTCTCCACTTCTCATCATTACCTTAGTTTTATCACCCTTTCTAAGATTGAGTCGTCTAGCCTTACACCTTAGACTTGCATCGTGTTTCGAGAGCCAATCCATGCGTAGAATCATATCAAACTCTCTAAACAGTAGTTCTATCAGATTGATGGGGAAAATTTGACCATGGATTCAACAGGGCAATGAAGATGAATCTTATAGACCAGGATGTCTAACCCTAATGAACTATACACTATAAACCCTATATTTAAATTCTCAATTGAGAGTTTTTTTCTTGAGCTAGGTCATAACATATATAAGAATGCGTGGACCTAGATCTATTTCTGTTGTAACCAGAATGGAAAACACGGTAAATATACCTAAAATCACATCGGTTGGGTCACACTCATTCTGAGCCCTCATGGCGTACTGACGAGAAGTTACTTGTGGCTATGGACTGGCTACAGACCTGACAAAACCTCTATCATGCTAGCCGGAAGCATAAATACCTCCTTTAGAGGGTCCTCTACCCCTCTGCACTGACTGGGCTAATCTCTACGTCTGACTCGGTGTAGCTTTTTGTGCCTCTAGACAATCTCGAACAAAATGATCAAGGGAGTCACAACCATAACATCCTCATATCCCAAAATGGCATACACCGAAATGTTTCTTTCTATAAGTCTGGTAGTCAGGATATGGTGTTCTTACTGATCCATCAGAACTAGCCACTGATGTAGTCGCCAAAGGTCTCCTACGAGAGCCTGATCTGCCACCACGATTTGAACTCTAGGCCCGTCCCCTGGACTGGCCTGTTGGGGTTGTCTATGAACCTCGAGAATTTTTCCCTCTTGGATAACATTTGAGTAGGTCTTGAAGACTCTGTTGTCCCCTGATTTTTCTCCAAAATAATACTAGAGGCTCTAGCTCTCATCTCTACTACTTTCTCAACCGCTTTAGTTTGAAGTACCAATTCAAAAAAGACCCTAGGTTGGTCAGTAGCTAGATGAGTGAGAATTTCAATTTGGAGGCCTTTCCTAAACCTACTACAGTAGTGATACTCTATCAGAATCATCTCTGGTGCATAACGACACAACTGAAGAAACTTTACCTCATATTTTATCATCGAATAGTCACCTTACTTCAGATTAAGGAACTGATCTCTCAGACCATCAATATGAGCTTCTCTGATATATTTTTCTTAAAACTCTGATAAAAAAATTCCTATATCGACCTCTCGGGCTCCATAGCTAGCTCGATTGTCTCCCACTAGTCGATGGTGTCACCCTTAAGCAAGGAGATGACACGCTCCAAATTACCATCAGAAGTCAGATACAATTATCTAAGTGTGTGAAAAGTATCCCTAAGCCACTGATCTATAGCAATCAAATCATCATCTCTCGAATTAAAGAATTCGATTATCTTATACCGGCGCAAGCACTCTGCCGATGCTTCTTGATGTGGTACAATCGAAGGGGCTGGAGGTGAAGGTGGGTAAGGTGGAGTGGCTGAAGTCCTAGGGATGGCTCGCACTATGCGTCTTAATGTCTTCATCAAATCCCTAAAGAATGTCACTTTACCAAACCCAGCGTACCAAAACTTACCGACCCCAACGTCTACCAAAACTTTAGACTCAATGCTCAGGAAAAACTCATCCGCCTAGTCACCAACCAAGGAGGCATGACTATCTACTATACCCTCCTAACTATGATCAGAATCACCATCCATACTTAGATTATGAAACAACAAAGAAAAATGAGGTTACTATAACGATTCCATACTCAATAGTATATCTCAAAATTCTAGGTGCATGTGTGTATATAAACCTTTACCAACTCTAACCCACGAGTCCTAGAAATAACTTAACCTGATGCTCTGATACCATTAAATGTAACGTCATAATCTAGTACAACCCGAAGATCGACAAACTATGACATCACTCGGACTACCAGAGTGATTGATCAAAATTTTTCTTTTAAAAATTACAGATTCATTTGCATAAATCCATATATTGACATATATAATCATATAAATTATAATACTGTTTACAAATCTGGAGCTCCTAAAAATAACTTGAATTTATAGTTTAAAAAATAATCAAACATTTCATTTTGACCAGACATACACGGGTTCATTTACAATATATGCCCACTATTATATAACCCAAGACGTACTCAAAAGATGGTGGTTGGTGTTAAACGTTTCAGGCAAAGGCTCCTTCAAAAGCTCATGCTCCTAACCTGCGCACGAAAACAAATTTCAAACGCTAAGCTTACGAGCTCAGTGACACACTATTAAGCAAACTACACTACATGTATCCTCTAATGCATATACTTAAAACATATTTTTTAGTATACTAATATGTTAAGCTGGAACATATATACTTAGGTAGCGTCATGCTGCGACTGAGGTGCTACATCTCGAAGCTCACACACCCCTCTATCCTACTTAGGGTGAAAATATGGAATACTACATTGGATTGCGTCAGTCGTTAACTTGCTCTGTCGAGCCTTGGGGCATTTACGCCCAGTTAACAAAGAAGTGCATAATGCATAATCTTAGGGTTTGTCATATCTTAACATACAAATGTTCCTTGGTTTTCTATAGGGGTTCGGGTGTCTAACTCTTTTCTTGAACATCATACAAAGTAAGTCTTATGATTCCCTAGAGTGTAGGGTTTCTAAGTAAAATTAACTTTGTTAATATCATTATAACTTGATGTCTTAGTGAAGGATTAAAGAGTGGTTTGGGTCCCTCAACAACATTTCTAAAATTCCCTAAATTTCTTATTCTTGGAACTGAGGTAATATCGATACTGACTTATCACTATCGATATTGACTCAAAAATATTGATACCTCCATTAAAGTATAGATACCAACAACTTAAAACAACCTTAAGAAAAGGATTGTAGTATTGATACCCATATAGAGAGTATCGATACTCAACCCTTGGTATCGATACTCCCTTGAATATCGATACCAAAATTGTATTATGGAAAATCGGTATCGAAACCCCCTCCTCTAGGTATGAGGCTAAATCTAGAGTATTGATACTCTCACCTAAAAACTTATATATTTTTACCCAATATAAGAACATTATCTGTAACCCCTAGATCTGACCTATGTATTACGACCAGATCTAGCAGACTACAATAAAGTTTTCCAAAACATTTTCAATAATTTAAAACCATATTTCGAATAAACATCTTTAAAAATAGATTTGATAATATTAAAATTCAATTTATGTAAATAAAAGTTATCGTAAGGACTAAATAAAAATAAAAATTCCAACATCAGTATTGAAGGCAGTATAAATCATTAAATCAACATTTTCAAAATATAGGCACATGTTACCCAAAATAAATGCATCTCGGAAGATAAATACATTATAACAAAATATCACTGTACTAATGTGTCGATCCTTTAAGTGGTAGGTTCGGGATGCATATTCAAAATATGTGAAAGAGAAAAGTTTGGGGGAGTGAGCTAGGGAGCTTAGTGTGTTCCAACGGTGTAGAAATAGAACATACATATAAGTCTCCAAAACAATTAGTTCTAAGTTATGAAAACGTCAATAGTGTTTTTAACTTAAAATATAGAATTGCCCTCCAACCAAACACCATATGCAGTTCCTCATAACTGCATCTATAAGGACTTAGCCTAGGCCTGAAAGGCATAGGTGCCAACCAATGGGAGCACCCTGGGTCTATATGGTCTTACCCTAGCTGAAGCGTAGGTTCCCACCTAAGTCTTGTGCCCTAAGGCCCATAAGGACTTACCCAATGCACACAGTAGAGGAGCCACCCTAAGGGAGTACCTTAGGGTCCATAAGGTCTTACCACTAGGCCCATTAGGCCCAAGAGCTCACCCAAAAGTCTCCTTAGGTCCACATAGAATTACCAGTTTGATCGGTATGAACCTATATAAGGAACCAGTTTAACCGAGCTAAACCTGCAGAGATTTCATACTAAATCCCAAAGTATCCCAGAGAAAAATATTTTTTAGACAGTAACCAGTGGTAGTAGGAAATTAGAATTCATACATATTTATTTATCAGTAAAAATAGTAAGGATGGAATATCAATCAGACAATTAGGCTTACTTTAGTAAATCAAAAATCAAACTTTAAATTAGATAAATCATATGGAATCAAATCAAACATATAGACACATTGAAAATCAGATAAAACAATCATGTGCACATGATATTTCAAACATATATTTATAATGGATATGTGGCACACAAGAAACACACTTCACATAATGAATCAGTCCGGGAGATTTATCGAGCATTGGCTTCACTATGCTCTTATGTTGTACGAGAACCTAAGTCATATCAGAACGGGGTTATAATTAGAGTAATAATCTAAATCAAATATTTAACAGGGTTATGGAGCTATACAAGAAATCAAAAGATCACGAGAACAGACAGATCGGGAAGAACTGGGTCGAACGGACGAACGGTCATGAAATCCATGAGTACCTTAAATAAACGATAACATATTTCATTTATTAACCTTAAATTAAACGAACTTAATTAAATTGCTTAAGTTACATATGCACTTTCTCGTTTAACGGTCAATTCAGAGGTTTTCAAGTTCGAATTTGGCAAAACGAACTTCAGATTCAGACTCAAGACGTCGAAAAACATAAAATATGACTTTTCAAAAAGTTTGACTCTTTGATCAAAGTCAAATTCAAAGTCATCATGCATGTCAACGGTCAACAGTTCGAGTCAAGGCCAACGGGTCAAACCAGTTCAGGTTGACTTAGCTCGGTTTGAGTTGAATCAGACTGGTTTGGGTCGATTCAATCTGGTTAGACCGTTTTTAGAAGGATTCCAGAAGCAAAGATGAGCCCCACGTACATGCGATGGCATGTGACGACGGTGATGGGTAGGGGGACAGTTTCTGACTACTCCACGATAAACCAAACATCAAATTAAAGAAACAACAATGCTCAGTTTTAGTTAAAACCACCTGAAACAAAAGAAAAAGGGCCAAAATGCTTACCCACACTGGAGACGAGGAAAACGATGATGAAAACTCAACCCATCGGTGGTGTTTTGAGTGGACGGAGGTGGGCAGTACGGAGGAGGCAGCAGTGCAGCCAACCAATAGCTAGAACGACAGGAATCGAAGGAAAAAGAGGCAGTGACGTAAGGGTTTTCGATGAACTCTTCGGCTTAAGTCACGGTAATGTGCGACTGATCTCATTGAGGAATACAAGGTGTTTTGGCTGCGAGAGGTCACCGATCATGCTGGTAGGGTCGGGGAATAACAATGACAATCGAAGCGGGGTGAATCGTGGAAGGGTGCGACGGTTAAGGTTAGGGAAGAAAGGGTTTGGGGTTTAGGACTTAATACACAAACGAGGGGTTCTACCTTGGATCTGGGTTATAACCCAATCTAAATTATAATATATATTCATAATTGAAGTCACAAATAGTGACTTAAGCCGATTGGTAGGGTGATGGATGGCTACTCCATGGGTCAGTCCCTAAACTTCCTACACATTCAAATTTGGCCTAAAAATCTTCAAAATTATTCATTTTTCCCATTAATTAATTAATTAATTAAATTATTATTTTTAAGTAAAATTTGGGGTGTGACAGTATCGATACTGACACATACATTATCGATACTAGCACCCAAAAATGCCCTGTTTGGGTAACTTCAACCTTTCAAAACCATCCTAAAGGCCCTAAGGAGGTCCCCAAACATTATTACAATCTTATTTAAACTTATTAGGGTTATAAAGAGTCATCATATAACATAAAAACACATAAATGTGAGATTTACCATGAACATGCTCTTAATCTTTCAAAAGCTAATGTAGACTACATAAATGCATGATAAGGCTTACAAATATTATAGAAAGTTTATAAGGGTCTTACCTTGGTGATTTAGCTAATGGAAACTCCCCAAAATCACCCAAGTGACAACTTTTCATCCCCCTTACTTTGGACCCTTCTCTAACTTCTTTCACTAAAGCATAAGGAAAATATGTTACTGACTTATTTATGAGGCTATTATAAGCCTATAAACATTTCTTAAAGTTTATACTACCCCAAACACAAGCTAGAATACTCTATTTCATAAACCCCTACTAAAACCCATTTTTGGTTTAAAACTTAAAACTTGACATATGGGGCTTGAAATGAAGCTCTTGAATTGGGGAAGAATCTTTCTTACTTGAGTTAAACTCAACTAGGATTTGAATTCCTTAAATCTTCACTTGGAAGGAAGGAAAATGAAGAGAGAAATGGGAGGGATGAGAAAGAGTGTTTGGTGAGTTAAGATGGAGTAGTTCACGTTGATATCAGATAAAAGAATAAAGGGGTTTAGCTCTTGATTTGAAAAAGGGGGAAATCACACCTTAGGTCATTTTCCTTTTTTACTTCTTATTAAACTTATCCCAAAAGTCCAACACTTGGGCCAAACCATGCCCAATTCTTACTAAAATTTATCCAACTAATCTAATGGGCCTTTTTGGGCTCGAATTAAAGGTTTCGAGTTAACTCGAACTACTAACCCGGGGTTTGGGGTTTTACACTAAGATACAAAATATATACACCATGTCATATAATTTAGACTAAGCAATGTTCTTGGATTAATGGTTGGATACATGTTTAGTTTCCTAAGTGAATATTTTTTGCCCTAATTTGCTTTCCTTTGTTTTCTTTCAACCAGAGGGTGACATATGTTACTCTTTGCTTGGTAGAAATAAATATATTAAATTAAAATAAAGTTAGTCCTCCAACCGAATGGTGACATGTGACATGACATGTGGTATCATTCGATTAGAGAATTAAATTTATTTTAATTTATTAAAAATTTGACTAAATTGAGAGAATAATTAAATAACAAGGATCAAATGTGTGATTGTATCAAAATATTTAACTGCTGGTAACGACAGTTAAGTTGAGGTAACTACATCTTAATTAAATGAAAACGAAAGTGACCATATCTGTTTTTTTTGTAATCAGTGACCAAAAGTGGACAAACCACAAATATAAGTTATCATCCATGTAGTTTATCCTTTAAAAAATCATATATTCAAGGTTTAAATAAAAATAAATATTAAATTATAATTTTTTTTTGAATAAGCTAAGATTGTTACAAAGTAATATTTGTTCTAAATACTTTCTCAACCATTTGACAATGAACGCTTAATCACCATGATGTAGTTGCTGGTGCTCAAACCCGCGACCTCTAAGAACAACAACAATTTCTATAACCGCTAAGATAAGTTAATTAGTGCATGTTAAATTATAATTTTTAATCTAAGTGTTTAAAGTTTCATTTATTAAAATATATATTAAAATAAGGTAAGCATAGAGTTTGTATCAACAATATAAATATTTTATTAAATATTTAATAAAATATTTATATTGTCTATACAAACTCTATGTTTACCTTATTGTTGATTCTCCCCCTTGAAACCTGTGGATTTACTCGCCTTCGATACTACCTCAAGCCGCTGATTCGCAGCACTAGCCTGATGTATTAGGCTCTTCTTCATTAAAAAAAAGAAAAGAAAAGTAAAAAGAAACATATATGTCTGATGTTTATTCATTTATTTTAAGGTTAAATCATTATCATCTCAATCAATTAAATCAGATTTAATCAATTAAGTTGGTTAAGTTGATCGTGAGTTAATGAAATTCACAATCTAATCTATATTAAATCAATTCAATTAGATTAATTATTTGATTCAATTAATATCCAAAGTCGTCAATAATATATTTTTATTAAAGGAAAATTATTATATCATTAGCCACTAAAGTTTAAGTTATGTATCGCTTTTTTTCACTAAACTTTATAACACTTTAATAGAAGTATTAGATTTTAGTTTGAGGAGTTCAATTGGGCCATTAAATTCAAAATGATATATTTAAAAAAAATGGGACGGACTTCATTAAAAACCCTTTTAACCATCAAACGATGGGAAACCTATAAGGAGGAAAGAATACCCAACTAAAAATAAGTTAAACAACATCATTTGATACAATTTAAAAAATAATCTCGTGAGAAGTCGAATCAAAATTAGGAATTTGGATTTGATTTGTTTGGTGTATTTCTTTAAAAATTGAAGTATAAGAAACATTTTTCTAGAAGATAAACAACATACTTTGAAATTGACCTTATCAAATGAGTGAGATTGAAGCATTAGATCGAACTTTTAGATGGATTTTCAGTGACTTTGAATGAGTTTGTGGAAAACAAATTAGAAAAGAAGAATGATAATTAAAATGCGTATGTTTTGATGTCAATTTTTTTTTATGATGACAACCAATGAATGGTAATGATTAACCGATTATGATCGTTTGAAGAGTTGATGATTTTAATAGAAAAAATAAGGAAGAAACAATAGTATCACTACACCGTTAGCGATCTAATTCCAATGTCCTAATTGAACCTATAACTAAAATTTAATGTTCAAATTAAAATGTTGTAAAGTTTGTTAGTAAATTGATATATTATCTAAAAGTTAGTGAGCGACGGCATAGTTTACCCTTTCATTAATGACAAGAATAGCTATTTTTGTGGCACCGAGGAATTTGAGGGTCAAATTGGGAAACGTCTTTGCTGAGTCATATCTATAAAACCGTTGATGGGGTATTACCTTTTGAGGATAAAACGGATGGAAAAGTAAAGAAATTAATTTGGCATTAAAAGCAGAGGGAAGAAAGAGGATTGAAAATGTTACCGCAGCGGTTACCGAGTAACGGCTTCCGACACCAACCCCCCGTTACGAGTGGTTGCCATCTAAAGTCAACTGTCCAAAAGTCGAAATTTATGTGGTTTGTAAGAAAAATATATCACGTGATTTAATGTATTTTTATATTACTTTTATTATACTTTTAATTTTCTCAACCTATTAGGTAAACCTCTTATAAAAAAAAACCTATTAGGTAAACCTCCCAATATAAACCTATCCAAAATAAAACCTCCTAATATAAGCAATAATAATGCTGGTGGAGTTTTGACTAGGTTTATATTATTATCTTAATATTTAGAAGTTGTTATTCGATTTAAATATTTAAAATTTAACATTGTGAGTAGAATAGGTTGGATTTGAGCATGGATGGATCAAAGAACAAATACTGCGAGAAGTAAGATACTTAATTTCAAAATAATAATGACTTATTATGTATTTAATATAAAAATTGGGATAGGACAGAAGTTTAATTTTACTTAAATTCAAAATCATAGGGACCTAAAATGCTATTAAATCAAAAATTTTAGGAGGGGCAAGTGCCCCTCTCACTTCCTATATTACTTGGTCCCTGAATTTGAAGAGTTGCCATTGTAGTAGACTACTATAATATCTAATTTAGATTATTCAACAAATGGATGAGATATTATTATAATAGATATAGATGATTATACCAAAAATAATACTATTATTTTGAACCTAGTACAAATATTTTAAAATACAAAGCCAAAATTATGATGAACTAAAGTAGATGGAATAAATCTCAAGACCTAACATTATAGAGGGACCAATACCATAACTGGATCAACAAAACGATGATATTGTTAGTGTTGGTATTAGTTTAACACTTTAAGATTTATTTGTATAATTAAAGCAGAATTTTGGTCTTGAATTGCTGTTTGCCCAATGACTTATTTTCGATAACGAAAAAGTAAATTTGCGATACCGAGAATGTTTTGTTTATAATGGAAATTTATTATGTGTACTGATCTTAAGTGTGTTTTTATGGTACGGTTGGCAATAATATTTACACACAATATGCAAAAAAATGGAAAACGTTTAATGTCATTTTGTTAATTTGAATGAATAATTCAACCCTCCTTTAATATGAGTTATATTATTATTTTTATTTAATAATTTTTCTCTTTTCATATTATAATTGTAATGATTTTATCTATAATATTTTTTATCTATTTTTATAGCACACATTTTTTTCTCTTAAAGTTAGATATGACGACTGCTCTCCATATACAAACAATATTTATTTGGTTAATATACTAATCTATCACTGTATTGAGATCTTTGACTTAATATTTGTAGACACTCACAATCACAAAAGATAAATCACTATTGAATTGTTGTAATGTCAATTTGTCAACAAATTAATGTATATTTATATTAATTTTTATGGTTTTTTATCATTTTTCATCGACAATAGTATTTATTTGTATCAATCATATCATCAAGTTGTTTAGTTCAATTTTCATTTTTTTTTGTAAATTCATTTTTTTAATCTCAGATGACTAGTATGTGTACTTCGATGGTTTTAGGAGAATGTTTGATTTATGTAATTAATTTACTCTTATTTTTCATAGACTTTTCTTGTAATATAAGATATTTTTCTTTATGCTATTAGTAATTAAATAAAATTTAAGATAAAGTACACAAATGGTCCCCGACTATAAGATGTTATTTAGTTGAGTTCATTGACTATTAAAAGTTATAAAGTGATCCATCGGTTATAGAGTGTTCCATTTTTGAGTCCCTCGACTATTAAAAGTTACAAAATAGTTACCCAACTATTTATATATTTCAAACTCATCCTTTTTTGTTAAAAAAATGACGATAATCTGAACTGAGCGTTAATATGCTGGTTGGGATATGATAAAATATGATCCCAGAACTTCAAATGATTATTATATATCATTCAATATGTTAACACCTAGCTTAGACGTCTGTTAAATTTTTAACAGAAAATGACGAGTTTGGAACATATGAATAGGCATGTTGTAACACCCATCTCCCGTATACCCTTCCGTATACGAGGTACAAATGTTTCATCACTTTTAAAACATTTTCATATTTGAAAACCCATAAAATTTTACTCCTTTTTATAAAACATTTTAATTTAATAATAATAAAACATACATTAATTTTAAGTAGATAACCAAAAGTGATGTTCAAACATTTCATTATTTTTACATAATGGTAAATCAAATAATTTCAGAGCATTTTTACTAAATCTATTACATGCCAACTAATTACATCAAAAGTAGACATGTATGTCATATTGTTACTGACGAGGCGATGCTTACTTTGATGTCTGATGGTCTCCTTACTCAGCTTGTATTAATACCTACGCATGAAATTAACACACGCTAACAAATTCCTAAGGCATAAATACTCATACGCAAAAATTCAAAACACAAATATATCATAACCATTTTGATGTCCATTAATTCTTTCAAATTCTTTAAACACTCTATAGTTCACACCTATATTGCCAATACTTTCATTTCCCAACCATTCCTATAAATTACGTGGGTTGTACACACAATACCAATACATAAATTCACACAATTTCCTAGTTTTTCCACATAAGTTCAAATACGGAAATTCATAAACAAATTATGAATTTCTTAACTTTTTCCACACAAAGTGCCTAATACGGAAATTCATAAACAAATTATGAATTTCTTAACTTTTTTGCACACAAAGTGCCCAATACAGAAATTCATAAACAAATTATGAATTTCTTAACTTTTTGCACACAAAGTGCCCAATCCGGAAATTCATAAACAAATTATGAATCTCTTAACTTTTTGCACTCAAAGTGCCCAATACAGAAATTCATAAACAAATTATGAATTTCTTAACTTTTTGCACACAAAATGTCCAATACGGAAATTCATAAACAAATTATGAATTTCTTAACATTTTGCACACAAAGTGCCCATTTGGTAATCACCATACATATATCAATCAATCATACATCTATGACTACCGTAACATATACGTATAAAATAAATGCACTCACATGGATTGCCTCGCTATTGTATACAAAACACAAAGTTGATTACTCAGGTACTTTGCCTTTGCCTTTTGTTTTGCTTGACTCAGGAGCGGGATTTCGATCTACTCAAGAATCCAATAAAGACACATACAATATCAATTTTAATATATTTCCTAACAATTATACTTAAACATTACTCAAGAGTACATATTATTTAATTTTCCATAACAATATCAGCCTATTCTAAAATTTCTGGCTCACTAGTATCAATACCCCTACCATGGTATCGATACTAATATACTATGGTATCGATACTCTATTACGGTATCGATAGCATTTTTGCATTCTGTTAACAATGGTATCGATACCTTCCTTATAGTATCGATATGTCTTGCATCAGTATCGATACTTCCCAGCTGATTCTTTCAATTTCAAGCCTATAATATCGGTACTGTTCTATTAGTACCGATACCCTTACCCAGATTTTCCATTTTTTAGCCCGATTATTACCCAAATTTGGTCAAATTTCCATATGTTTATACCCAATAATACTACTAAACTCTTATTTGCTTATTCCTACTAGCCTTAATTCATTAAGCTTCTTAAAACATCTAAAATCTCCCAAGAACAATCAATTATAAAGATCACACCACTTTTTCTAACTTGTTTTTAAACCCATCCAATGCTTCTAATCTCTCGCTTACTACTTTGACAAGTCAAAACTACTAGTAAACATCCATAAACACTCATATCTTAACATATCATTTCAAAACCCATTTTCTTAATTCTCTAATATTTCCTCCATAACTTGGTTTTAATCTTATTTAACCCTTCCTTAAACTTACATATCACTTAAGGTTGCAAAAACAACCTATAATCAAAAGGAAAAACTGATTAAGTGAAGTTTACCTTAGAAGCTATGGAGGAGAGAGAAAAACCACGGGAAGAAGAAGAAAAACACTACTAGAAAAAACCCCTTTAATGACACACAATTCTCGTCATCTATGGGTGCAAATGACACACAAACTCGCGTCGTTGAAGCCACCGACATAAATATCAGATGACGCGCAATTGTGCGTCATAAATCTATGACACGCATTTATGACACACATTTATGATGCTCATTTATGATGCACATTTATGACGCGCATTGCGCGTCATTTAAGCCCCTGTCATAAATGAAAATGACACATTTGTGTGTCATAAATTTATGACACACATGTATGACTTATATTGTGTGTCATTGAAGCCCCCGTCATAAATGAAGATGACACACATTCGTGTGTCGTTATTGTATTTCGTAAATTATATATATATATATATATATTGTAGATTGACAAATAATCAAACTAAATCACATTTAATGTCTCATAATACTAAATATATATATATATATATCATATTATACATAAGCAATCCATTTGCATACAATATATTCACATTAAGTTATAAAAAATATTGTAATCATATGTCGATACAAGGAACAGATAAAACAAATTTAAAAACAAAAACCTGATTCTGCCATTAATCATACAATAACTTCATAATCCTACTACAGTAAACTTGAACATCTAAAAACTAACAAAAGTAAAATATATTCATTCAAAAGCTGAAGGAATATAATGAATTTTTACAGGACCTTTTACAGCAAAAAGTACCATAGTTTCATCTACATCCCCCTCTTTGTTCTCTTCTTCTGTCTTTTCAGAATCAGAAAGCAAACCTCCAGCTTTCTCCAAGCGTTCTTCTATGGAATCTTCAAGCAACTATGAGAAGTATAAGAAGCTCAAAGTTAAAAAAAATATTAGAAATATGTGAAAAAGTATGCAAATACGTATTTAAGTGGAGTACAAATAGGATTCAATATAGAGTTGATGGCAGCAGGAACCCTTTTACTTTCACTAATGGAAGGAGAATTATATATGTTAAATCCATATATAATTAAAAGACCAGTTCAGCAACTCACTCCCCAATGCATTTCTTTCTGGTTTATCTGATTAGCTACATCCTGGCAGCTTCCAATAAGTGTTACAACCTCTGTATCATCAGAAATGGAAATGGGCTGTCAAGAAGAAAATGCAAGAAAACAAAAAAAAAACAATAGTCAAACAACACCTCTTTTGCATACGTAACATGCAGAATATGAATAATGAAAATGGCATCACCTTGAAAGTTAATGTGTTCATTGATGACCCCAAGCACTGCAGTGGATTGCGTTTTATGCAAATATTGCAACAGAAGATCATAGGAATACTGTCGAAGTGATTGACAACAAATTCAACAGTAAATGAGGAAACAAATATATTCTTTTCTTATCTATTAGCAGTTACCAAAGAAACAATTTACGGCTTTTACCTGACATATCTTGATGATAACATTAGACAAGTACGATGATTGTGTTTTACTAAAATTAAAATTAAGCACTTACATCATATAACAAGTATTCACATAACCAGGATTATTCAATCTCCTGATTAAGTGAATGGTCTGTTAATGCCTTTATTTTACTCTGCCTAAGAGAACGAGAAAATTCCATACCCTGATAGAAAAAACATCTAGGTAGCAGCAATATATAAGAGAAAAATGATTCAATCCTCCAACATAAAATTGTATGCTATTGCACCCATTGAAGCCGAAGTGATACCCTCACAGTTGTCAAGCTTAAGAACCGTTAACATTGTTAGTCTTACATACTTCACAGAAAGAAAATTCATCAAAATATGGCTTAACCAGAAAGTGGCACTAATTAGAACTAAATTAACCATTTGCAAAATCTGACCTCAAGAGATATGTTAGGACAATATGACGAATTCAGAACATGGATAACAGAACAAGAGCGAGCTATTTCTTGAAATGTTTCATTACTAACACACAGACAATTTGACATGTCTAAAGACTCTAATTGAGGGCAATAAGTTACTATGTAATGAATTATTGCATCTGTAAGTTTGTGGCATGCACTTATATCAAGCAGCTGTAAAATGGGGCAATTAAGGGCTGCCTGTGCCAAATTACTACGTTTCAAGGACAAACTCTTTAATAGTGGGCACCTGCAAAAGATCAGATGTTAGCATAAGGGAAGAACAGATTGACATCAAAATATAGTTTACAATCAAATCTAGATTTTGCTTCACCTGATAGATATACGTATCACACGGTATTTAGTTACTTTCAGATCACATAACATATCATGGTTAATAGGTATCTCTTGACCACTATCACCGAGAATAGCATCATTCACATCCAAACTCCTTAACATACCACACTCAGTCAATGCATGGAAAAAAGCATCCCCTAGTAGCCCTTTTCCAAATGTTAAAGCCTTAAGATTTCTACTAATCAGAAATTTTTATACACATTAATAAGAGGCTGTGGAAAATTCATTTTATTAGAACATAAAATATGTCTACAAAATATTACGTAATGAATGGACAGCTTTCATAACAAGAAGGTGCATGCTAGGAGTGCCACTCAGGTTCACTTTAGTGGTATTTGGATATCTTTGACAAATGTCATCAACTACAAAATCAAAATGCAACGTTATTGCAGTATGTCATCCAATTTCATTACATCAATGTACCATTTTCTCATGTAAAATAATATTATAATCGAATACCCATATAGTTTTCTTATCTAAAAAATAATGTCAACTCCAAGCAATTTCTAAACTTTGTTTGGAGCACACTGTTTAAAATAAATGAGAACTAAGTAGAGATATTGAGCAAATCTTAGACTCACATTGTTCAAGAGATATATTCCGGTTTTCCAAGTTCTAACACCTCCAAATATCCTCATGAGCACTAGCTGATCACCATTGCCTACAAATCATGGCAGCATTACAAAGATTACGATGATCCAAGAATGAGAACACGCAAATAAGCGGACGAGCCCTTTGTTCCTGTTCATTCATTTAATTAAACGAACACACAATTCTGTTAATGTTTATTCGTTTAATAAATAAATGAACATAAATGAACTTCTCGCTAAACAATTTACGAATGATTTATTAAAAGTTTATTTGGTTTGCGGTCTTAGCTATTATCATTACATTAAATCATAATAATATCAATTTAAACAAACATTTATAATTATTAAAATTTTTAAAACAATTTCAAACAATAATATCCAAATTTATTTTATTTCCGAATTCACATTTCAACTACAATTCCAAGGGTCAATATTGCTCACACTGCAACTGGCACTACAACCGCTTATTGCCCGCACCACCACTTCCCTTGATGCATGGCAAACCTTAGCTAATACCTACGCCAAACCATCTCATGGTCATATTAAACAATTGAAGGAACAATTAAAGCGGTGTACCAAGGGCTCAAAATCAATTAGTTAATACATGCAGGCGATAAAGACTCGTACCAATGAACTTGCTCTTCTAGGGAAGCCAATTGATGATGAGGATCTTATTGATCGGGTTCTAGAAGGACTAAGTGATGAGTATAAATCTGTCATTGATGCCATTAATGCCTATGACACACCAATTTCTTTTGCTGAACATCATGAGAAACTTCTCAACAAAGAAGCATCTCTTCAGATTGCTCAACCACCTTCCCTATCACTACCAGCCACGAAAAATCCCACAGCCTTTCAAAATCGTCCAAATTGGCATCCATCAGCCACCAATTCACAATAATCAGGCCTTACCACTATACTTTCTCCTCATGATCAACACCAACCCAAACCTTATTTGGGTCGTTGTCAAGCATGCAACACTCAAGGAAACACTGCCAAACGATGCTCGATGTTTCAGCTTGTCACTAATCAACAATCACCAATATCTCGTCCTCAAGGCTCTCAGGGATATCGCCCCTCCACACCCTAGCAACCACGAGCCAATCATGCTATTCTGGGCAACAACACTACAACTACTTGGCTGCTGGATAGTGGAGCATCTCACCACGTTACATCTGACTTGAGCAATCTCTCTCTTCATAGCTCGTACCAAGGATATGATGATGTCATGATTGGTGATGGATCGGTTCTTCACATAACCCATACTGGTTCTACCACTATACCTACTTCCTCTCGCACCTTTACAAAATGTTCTTTGTGTCCCTTCCATGAAAAAGAACTTAATTTCAATTTATCAATTTTGCACTCATAACCATGTTTCTGTTGAATTCTCACCCTCTGCTTTTCAGGTGAAGAATCTAAACACGGGGATAATCCTTTTGATGGGTGAACCTAAGGATGGCGTATATGAGTGGCCGAGTACATTCCCTTCAGTTTCCTCTCCACTATTGCTTGCATTTTCCAGTGTTAAGACCACTTCGTCCGAGTGGCACTCTAGACTAGGTCATCCATCATTTACTATTTTGAAAAATATTTTTTCCAAATTTCCTTTACCATTGTCTAGTCCGTTATCCTCCTCCACATATTACAATGCCTGTTCATATAATAAAAGTCATAAAATTCCATTTTCTTCTTCTACCTTAACCTCATCTCACTCGCTTGAACTTATTTTTTCTGATGTCTGGACCTCCCTGTTTATTCTGTTGATGGTTTTCAATACTATGTTATTTTTTTTGATCATTATACACGATATATTTGGTATTATCCCCTTAAACGAAAATCTCATGTGTATAATGTATTTGTATATTTCATGGCATTAGTCGAAAACCAATTTAAACATCGAATTGTTACCTTCTATTCAGATAATGGTGGTGAATATCAAGCCCTTGATCTTTTCCTCTCCACCAATGGTATATCACATCTTACTACACCACCCCATACACCAGAACATAATGGTTTTTCTGTACGAAGTCATCGACATATTGTTGAAACTGGTCTATCTCTCCTTACTCATGCATCAATGCCTTTAACTTATTGGACTAATGCCTTTGCCACTGTTGTATATCACATCAACCGTATGACCACACCCACATTACATCTTTCATCTCCTTTTGAGAAACTCTTTGAGTCTCAACCTAACTACACTAAACTTCAGGTGTTTGGTTGCTTATGTTATCCGTGGCTTCGTCCTTATTCTCAGCATAAACTTGACTCTCGTCTCACTCCTTGTGTCTTTCTTGGTTACTCTTCAACACAAAGTGCATATATCTGTCTCGCTCTATCCACTTCTAAAATATACATTTCTCGTCATGTCAAATTTCTTGAAAACTCCTTTCCTTTTAGCACTCACCAAATCCATCTATCGCGTACCACCCCAGAGATCATTTCCAAATGGCTTCCCCCGGTCCAAATTTTACCAATTTCAAGTGGCTCACTCAATACGCATCCACAAAGGGATTCTTCATGTCAACATCAGTCACAAAATACCCAAACAAACCACTGCCCTTCCTCATCAGTCGACTGTCGATCCCTGTCCATAGACCTTCCTTTACCCAAACACAGCTCGATTAATCGCCAAGAAACCATCATCGACCATTTACCACTAGAACCACATAATTCTGAGACCTCTTCTGCTTCAATCATAACGCAACCCACCCATCAAAATACCCATCCCATGACCACTAGATCGAAAAACAACATCCATAAACCCCTAACCAAAATGAACCTCACTGCTATCATTTCTCAACCATCAGACATTGAGCCTCATACTATTTCTCAAGCCCTAAAAGATCTTAAATGGAGATAATCTATGAATGATGAGTTTGATGCTCTTGTTCGGAATGGAACTTGGGAGCTTGTTCCATCTACTTCTTTGCAGAATCTTGTTGGATGTAAGTGGGTTTTTTGTATTAAATGGCTTCCTAATGGTTCTATTGATAGGTACAAAGCTAGATTAGTTGCCAAAGGCTTTCATCAGCGACCTGGAGTGGA